GCATTGGATCCGTGGTGATTCAGGAGGAAACCAGCTACCTGCTGTGAATCAATATGCAGACTTCCTCCTTGGATCTACCTCATAACAAACACATAAAGACTTGTACAGGCTAATAGAAGAGGTTTAAGGACATTGTATGGCTGCAGGAAAAAGAAGATTTTTTTTTTTCCCCCCAGAAATGGTTGAATGAATGATTTTCCAATTTAACACAGCTATTACTTAAGCGACCAATATACTCTTCCATTTACTTACTCCAATTTTTCCTTAATTTACCTAATTTTTATCTGCTTATTAAACAGTTTTCACATTTTCATATGCAGCTGATGTGCAGAAACAAACTCCACAACTCACAAAGAGTTATAAAGCAGGTATGTTTATTATGGCGCCGGGGGCAAGGGGGATCGCTCCTCCTAACTTGTACACTGAGTCACAAAGTGTGCACCTATTTATTACAAAGTTTATATAAGTAGGTGGGATTATTACAATTAGTCTTGGGAATAGGCGTGATTATTATAATTATTTCTAAGGATTTATTATCATACTCCACCCCTCTTTAGCGCCTGCACAGTGTTGTCTGGTGGTCGTCTGTGGGGGTCTTCTGGATGAAGGCTCGTAGTCTTGCTCGCTGTGTACTTTTTACCTTGGCTCAAAATTCCTGAGTTGTCTGTGTTGGCTGAGTCCCAAACTGCAGAACCAGTTTCAGCTAGAGGGATGCTCCCTATAGGCCATAAATTCCCAGTTATCAGTCCTTATCCATCCCTGTTTCACTTCATCTGGCTTGCAGCAGTCCTTGTGATTTACATCTGAGCTCTCAGAAGTCCTTGTTAGCAGACCATTTGGCAGTGGTTAACCCTTGCCTCGACATGGCTGCAGAGCTGTGTAACAAACTAAAACTAAAGCTATAGCGAAATCGTACTAAAAGCCAATTTCTCACATCACAGCATTTACGAGTTGTATGCAAAGGTTTTTTTCATTCTTCCTCCCCCCTTTCTAAGTTGAAATACTACATTGTCTTCGTTGATAGGTTCTCATGTAAACTGGAACTGTAAGTCAGTATAAATGTAGAATATAGAGCATACCAGTAAGTTTGGATGTGATTGAGAAGAAATGGTCCTATATGTTTCAATTTAGAGGGCTTCGGATGTAAATCTCTGGCTTGGACATATTTCTCTTGATTTGCTTTCATAACAGGTTTGATCTATTTCATGTTGTAAATTCTCCTAGTTATGTAAAACAAAAAATCTTTACAAATTTATGCCTCCTAAAATACTATGAACCTTGTTTTTATGCTATATATTTCAAAATCTGATTTGCTGTGATCAGGGTGAGTGCATTATATTTGTATGTATAAATGGTGTCACTAGTTTCATTTGTTCTGTGTTGGTGTTGCTATTATGATTATTATTATTAAAAGGGTAAGTGCTAAGGGAAGAGATTATTTTCAGGGTTTTTTCTCCTCCATTGGAACAATGGTAAAAGGATTATCTAAGTTTCAGATTTCTATTATTTGGGCTTCAGCTGAGGACAGAGAATGTATAGAGCATCTGTAAAATCAGTTCCCTGCCATACATGTAAAACAGCTTGGATGAATCCCTGAATGTTTTTATACCCATGATGAAATCAGTACACTTAATTGGAAGACAAGCATGGGTCCTGAGTACATTCCTTGTAAAACCCCTTGAAAGAAACACTCCTAACCTCAATTAGCTGCATATAGAAAATGCACTTGCATTGATGTAAAAAGTCTATCTAATAAATGCTGATCTGGCAAAGATCTAATTGCAGGATAGAAGCTCATAGTTTGAGAGCTCAACAAAGAAGGTATTTGTAGGAAGGTTTTCAGGGGAGATTTCAAGGCAGGTTAACAATACAAACACACAGCTATAGTCTGCTATTCAAAATGCAACTGCCTCACATCATGAGAACAGTTATTCTATTATGCTCTGAAACAGGAATTTCAGAGACATCCAATTTATACTACAATGTAGTCGCTATTGTATTGGAATCATTTAGCTTGCTTTAACTTCTCTGTAACATACAAATTTGGAAGATGATGTGAATGATGAAAATATTATAGGTAGCATTAGGAAAAACAATAGATAAATCATAAGTATCTTTCCAAATGAGCAGAAATAGCTCTTTGACTACTGATGGAGATGGGATTTCCACCTGCGTTTCAGAAAATGGAGCATCATCAGTTCTATTTTTCAGAATGTAAGATACAGAAAGAGCTTCATGACTGTGGCATTACAATCATGTGTGTTCCTCACCTGCAAGTGCTACTGCTGCTTGTCACCCTGTTCTTTGCACTGTAGAATATCTGTGCTGGTAGAAAGGCTGTTTTAATGTAAGGACAGCCATTGCTATGGTTACAGTGAATGCAGATTTGGTACCATTATTTTAATACACAGGAAATACTCCATCCCCAGGTAGGATTAATATTATACTACCTGTGAAATAAAAATCTTTATGAGATTGTATGTATAATAACGAGACATTTTTATATTCCACAATATTGACAAAATATGTCCATCATAAATTAAGGTAGTTGTTTAGGGCAGTGGCTGCCATCTGGCTATTAAACCATTGAATGATACCACCTTAATTGATAAATTAATGAATTTTACCTAAACTAGTCTAGTGTAACAGTGAATATGCCCAATGTATTTGCTTATGTAGAATGTTAGTAAGGCTGATTCTTACGAACTTCCCTATATAAGACAGCATTTATGCATGAATTTAATTTTTAAATCTTTAAAGTAGAGCATCTGTGGAAATTAACATGAGATTACTTGCTTGCATGTCAGTTTTTTGGAAACAGTGGCTGAAATTAAAGACAAGATTTTGATTGTCTTAACTTTCATCATGTACAATAAAGTCTTGATAAACAAAATTATCTGTTTTAAAAAAATTGTCGAGGAATGCATTAATTTATATAGCAGCCAAACTGCATTTGTACGTATTTTACATCTTTTGGTCTTAATAAACTAAGCAACATACCAAGGTTATGTATGCTGAAAATATGAATACAGTAACTTTTAAATCTTTCATCTGCTAGTACTTGAAAATAACGTATGAATATCTCTTTAGCAAGTGTAAATAAAGCTCTTGATTTTTAACAGAACTGTCTGTGGTATCAGTGAATTGGCAGCCTTATAACATTTTAAAAGAGAAATTCTACAGGAACTTGCAGCAACTTTACCTCAGACTCTGAAGCATTCGATGTAGAACAAACAAAAAAAAACAATGAAAAGCATATGTACAGAAGAACATGGAAACAAACTTTCCCACAAGAAACTAAATGGGACAGGAACTGCTGCTTGAAGTTTTTTTAAGGCTTATGCTTCTGGAAGAGCTGCAAAGAGTTGGGGCAGGGTGGGGAGCAAATAGCCACTTAGCACACAAGTACTGCACACCAAATGAAAATTGTACAACGAGCAGCTGAAGTGACTTAAGTGCAAGATTCACCAATACTGCATGTAATGCTAGCTCTGTTAATTGTCTTTTTCTGAACAACCCATCTAAAATTCAGTTACCTTAAGAAGTTTAGTCTTGGACACAGATAGAAAACAAGCAGTGAACACCAGTCTTTGAAAATGTGTATTCTGGGTGGGACTGTCTAAGGGACAACATAGAAATATGTTGTGCAACAGACCTTACGCAGTAGGTTCTTGATTTGCTTTTCAGGAAATGATGGAATTGGATAGGGATACTTGAGAAAGAATTAGGCAAGAAAAGCTTATTAAAACAGATGTTTGCCCTATGAACAGTGCCTTGAGCAACGTCATACAGAGATGACAAACTCCACTGAACAGTACAGCTGCACTCCCACAACAGAAAATGTTCATTGGCTCTAAAAAGCTGTTATTATAATCGTACTCAGAAAGGTTGTGTGTGAAAATACATATTAAAAAAAAATATAGCCATGTTTTGGTAGGACCTTCAAGTTTTTTGTAAACCTGCAATTTTTGACACGGTTACTTAAACTTTCCAGTTTCTTCACCATGGAAATACACTATGTAATTGTCTAGTGGCATTTATAGTTTCTCACTTGTTTGTTTAATTTTGCTCTTCTGTTTAGTGATACAGATATCCTGTTGTTTGGATTGAAAAATTAGATAGTATACCCTCCTTAGCTTATGTTACTAATGGCATAACAGAATTTACAATAAGATATTCAGCCAATTCTAATTCCTAGTGCTGCAGAAGACATAAACTGCCAACAGGCCCTTTTCTACTATAGTCCTCACTCCAGGCATTCTTAAAGCACTCCAGAAGCTGTTGGATAGTTTGAGGAAAAAATAGGAAATTTAAAACAATTTAAAACAGAATAAGTGTAAAAATAAATAAATTTGTCTGTACTACTACAAATCTACAACTCAATACGAAGTAAAAAAGCAATTGTTCTGTTTTTTCACATTACACTCAAGTATATTGGAAGTCATATTAGGATGAGGTACAGTTATGCCGAGTGAAACCTTCTACATTGCTTAGTACATGTGACAGCAATGTAATTTTTAATTTCTGGATATTACACAGCAGATTAGTGCATAGCGTCTGCCAAATTAATTTAACTCTTCAGTAGGATTAAGTATAAGCTTTGGTATTTTCATATACTTTGAGAGGCAGTTTTGGGTACTTTTCAAAGCTTAGATATAGTTCTTTTTATTTAGAGACGTAAGAGTGAATAGTAACAAATGATACTTTTAAGAAATGACAAGTCATTCATTACCACTTACTAGCAAATAATACCTATTAAACCTGTAATTATAATACAGTACAATTTTTCTCTTAAAAGCAACACACTTCCTCAAATTCATTTAATAGCATGTAGGCTTGAAAGAGCTGGGATGATAGTTTCCCCTGTTCTTTATAGGATGGTACAGCAAACCCAAGAGAATTGGTCATCCACCCCCAGATTGAAGTCAGGTAAATCACTCTTGGCTACGTTTTTTGATCCTTCCACAAAAGTATGATAAAATCAAAGAAACATGTTTTTGCCTGTGATAGACTTTAATATGCATTTTATAAGTACATAGTGAGCAGCAGGCTTATGTATGTTTCAGTTTAGTAATTAATAAGTTGTCATATTTGATCTTCAGTGATGGCCTCCATTCTTCTTTGGAGGAAACAGTGTATATTCAATGCCAAGAGCTATGACGAAAGCTGCAAATCCCCACTTGAGTCCCCTAGCAAAAACTTCTGTTAAGGTGACAGGTTTTGCAAAGCCACCCATATATCTCCAGGCTTCATTACTAGAAGAAAAATGAAACCAAAAGAATAAAACAAGATCAGTGCAGCCACTGTGATAAACATTAACAAGAATATCTTTGTTTGGCAAAAACCATGAAGGTATTTCAACTAGATATACGTCAAGACTGTAACATTTCTGTCATTTAAGTAACAGGAGTAGCCACAAGTACAGTTCATGATATTAAGTCTAACCCTTTATGCAAATAATTGGAGATACAAGTAACACCAGCAAATAACAAAATTCTAGTAACAGAATCACCTCCCCTTAGGTAATTGTTGTCTTCTGTTTTCATTCTGTTTGAAACAAAATCAGAACCCACTAGCACACACATGGGAGGGAGTAACTACAAAGGCTAGTCACTGTGACTATGTAGCACTAACTATGCTAGCATAGTTCAATCTTAATAGGGAAAGTATTTCCAGCCATAGAAAACTCATCCTACTGTGGAGGCACCTTCTGTTTTACAATACGATATTTACAATATGACATTAACTATATTAGGGTCAGAAAAGCCTATGAAAGCCGATTTAAAAAAAAAAACAAACCCTGACAAAATTGTGTTTAGCTAAAAAGCTACAGAATATTTACAAACCTCATGCTGTTTTGCTTTACTGTTTTCAACCTACATTGTTACTGAAATGTTAGTCACTGCTATAATTGACTACAAGTATTTCTGTGTAGCACAACCAGTGTAATCTATAGAAGAGACAAACTGTCCATCTCTATGGACTCAAAGTCCTTAAGAAGAAAAATAACCCAAACTATTTGCACAGAAACAAGCAATAAAATCAGAACAATCATTTCAGGAGAAGATACAAGTTTTTCAACAAGGGGGTCAAGTATTTATGTTCATAGATAATCCCCTCATGCAGATGGTTTCTGTGACTCAGGATGAAGGCATGCTGTCATGGAAGGGTATCCTGTAGATGCTAGTACAGGGTACTAATTGCTAAAGACTTAGGTTTCCAAATATGACATCTTTCACACAACTTATTCTGTATTGAATATGTCCATTAATGTACAATTGCTACAAAGATGATCCCCTTTAAAAGGAACTTAATATACCAAAGAGGGGAGCCCTAGAGAAGGTTACTTTTTCAAGACTTCTAGTGCACAAAATTCTAGTATTAGTTATGCAATCTTCTGCCAGATTAGCAAGGCAAATAACCTGATACTTTAACTTCTCCTTTGTTAAAGATTAGCATGATACTCATATTTGTCCTATTGAACTGAAAAATTACATTACATAAAATTTGAAAAGTTCAAGAGGAATCGTCTCATGCTTCAAGAGTTTGACTTTGTTCTTTATTTCAACTCCTCACATAATTGGCTCAAGTCCGTTCTTTTACCAGAGAAACATGAATTTTTTTTATCTAGGAGGGGCAACAAATATCACATGAGCTCTCTTCCAGTTTGCAGTTTTGCAGCACTTCCTGAACTTGGAAGTGTATGCACTAAAAGTCAGGTTAATTTACACTAAATTTATGCTATTAATCTGTGTCCATTTTTTTTCATGGGAATAAGCCTATTGCTTGCTGAAAACAAATTTGTCTGAAGCAAAAGGGAAAAAAGCTAACACTGCTTGCACTCCACAGAAACAGAGGCAACATAAATGTGACACAGGCCTGGAAAGTGAATTAGTAACTGATAATCCTAAGGAATCATATCTCAAATGATTCTTATTGTCATCAAAACTATGGTTTACTGTATGCTTACAGCCTCAAACTGTTTCAAAAGAAGGAAAAAAGTGCTGTAAATCCCAAATCCCTGAAAGAGGTTATAGCATGTAACAACTTTTTAACAGATTACCTCTTTGCTCTTACATTTTTCTTGTAGTGATTTGAAGTAAAGCCTTTTCTATGAAGGCTCCTGGAATAGTTTGCTTATGTAGCTTTTCCTTTACAGAAGAACCGGTCTACAACAGCACAAGACATTTAGCATTTATACTCCCCAAGATTAAACAGTACTTGAGCAAAGGATTACATAATTCATGATGTGGGAGAAATACGTTAAGCTGTGTTTTAACAGCTGCCTAAATGATCCAGAACTACTCTAGCTAAAAAAGAGGAGGTATTCATCATAGAGTGGGGTGAATTAAGAGGTAAAAATCTGATCTTCCATTATGTTGTTCACTGCTTATCAAAATGAAACGCACAATTGAATCAAATTCCACATTCTATGCTAGTATATTTCTTCTTTCCAAATAAAGGCCTCCTGTTGTATATGAGGAATAACATTCCTACTCAGAATGTCAATGTACATTCTGTCAACTTCAGCAAGATCTGAGCACACAATTTCTTTGCTGAAAAGGGATAGGCTTACTCATGTGTGCAAGACCTAATATTACGTAAGTGCTTTGGTGAATGAGGTATTGGTCTTTGTGCCTGATCTGTATCATCATGACACATCACAAAATGCAAGAATGCCTTGCAAAATGTGGAGACTGGTCAAGGTGATGCCAGGTGCGAACTCCATGAAAAAAGTAAAAAAAAAAAAAAAAAAAAGACTTAATTGAAATTCTGACTACTATATTCTAGACACATTTTCACTATTTTTACTACAGAATCATCTCCAAAGACAAGGTCCAGTTGATGCTACAGCACAACCTATCAAGATTACTTTTGAGGCTCTTGCACTTACCGAGCCCACGGATCCCTAAGACCCCGTTTAGCTAGCCTTTCTTGGACCTTCTCTAGTGGCGTACCCTCTATCTTCCACTGCCTGTAGTCGGGGAGTTCCATTTTGCTATGGCCATGTTCATTTCCATGCCCCATACCTACAAGAAAAGATAGGAGTTTTTTAGTTCTCAGAAAGTAACATCTTATTTTCACACGCTTGCAAAGAAGAATACCCTGTACAGGAAAGAGGGAGATTATAAGAGGTATTCCAAAGCACATAATACTGCACATGAAGCATCTTATGCATTGTACACAGTATAGTGTCGAACAAAAAGCTAAGAGAATTTATGCTGCATTTTACAAGTTGGAGATTAAGCACAATAAGGCAAGCTGTGCAGAGTTAAGTGTTATTGCACTGTAAGTCACCACCACCATTACATTTGTGAAGCAGCTATGTAAATTTTCTGTGCCAGAAAAACAATTGTTTCCAATGTCTATAAATGCACTTCAGTGACACCAGGGCCCACCAACTTGCAGGCTTTCCAGAACACATCAAAACACTCAGAGTTCCGTTTGGAAATTTCTAATTTAGGTATGGCAGAGCTATGACATCAAGCTCTGGAGAAAAACATGACTTGGCTCCTCAGCTGCTTTTGAGTTGCCTCCAATTCAGTCAAACACAACTGTGGCGATAAACAGGTACAGGATGGATGAATGGACTACAAGATGCACCTTACGAGTCATTCCATGAGGGCTGGAAATATGTGCTTTACTCAAGATACACGTCTGACAGAATTACGAAAATATTAGGGTTCTCATTAAAAAGCGATCAAGGCAGATGGTAAGGTGAACGTTTTCAGTGAGACTAGAAGAAAATAACAATGGCTTTGAAGTCTCTATTTTCACAAACCACCCACGACTTCTTTGAGACAGAATTTGCCACTTTAACATGTATCTGCTAGCAACGAACAGATTTAGTGTCTCTAATTTTCAGGAGAATTGACTGGAATGCAACGCTACCAACAACACAGCTTTGAAGCCTGTAACTCCTGAGGACCCTAAGCTGTGGAGGCAAGCAAAGAGGATTCTCTCGCAGAAGGAAACGTGAAGAAGAGCTCTAATGTTGTCACTACCCAAAAAGCTCCCACAAAATTAAACCCCAGCCTACGCTCTTGCCATAAAAACCCGAAGATCCCTCTCCTACCTGTATTTACCTTCCTACAAGAAAGGAGTTCGTACACACCCGCACGCCGCGGCCAGCACCGCAGCACCGGCCGGGCGCTCTCCACC